GCCTACGAGTCAGGGGTCACGAGTTCAACGCCGCAGCTGCGAGGAGAATCGCCCACGCCGGCAGCAAGACGAGCCGATAAGAACTCAGCCAATCGATTTATCGATCTGACACCGGCAGAATACATCGCCCTGTGCAGGCATCTCCGGACTGACGTCACTGATGATTGATTGGCCCCTACCCCCTATAACTGTTGCTTTTTTATCTGTTGACGCTTTTATCTGTGACGATGGACTCCAGTAAGAGTTCGAAAGTTCAGACGACTGAAACCATGTTTCCGGCTGTCAAACTGTTTCCAGTCCTATGGGGTTCTGATGAAAACAAAACGATCTGATTCTCGCTGTGGATCTTGATTGTGCTCTCTCGGAATATCAAAATTTGCATATTTTATTTGACAGAGCCTTCTTCATTCGTCTTTTATGTCAGCATATTTGCGTGTTTTAGGTCTTATAAGTGGGTTTACTGCCTGTTCTTTGTGCAGACAACTTCTGTGCCTTCGCAACGACAAGTCCTTGTCTTTAAGGACAGTCACGAATACTAGGCACGCTTTTTGGTACCTCAAGTCGTCCTGCTACTGTTTTCGTGGGAGGGTATTTCGCACGCGGTCCAGTAATTGAAAAATGCGCTCAAACTCGCCAAACTGTACCTCGGCGACAAAGGCCTGGCGCATCCCAGAACGCATTGAGGCCATTATCATGTGATGCCGTACTGTCCCATTATTGCGAATTCTGACAAAGTGACCGATTGGCGTGACCCCGACACGAGTTTTGTTTTTCCAGCAGAGGTCATCTACCGTTCCCACTTCTGTACTGTTCTGTTCGAAACTGTTGTAATGTTGCTAGAAGCCAATATGTTTGCCGTTCTAAACGCTTTATTTCAACACTTCAAGGCGGACAAGGAGACAAACTAGCAACAAAAGGAAGTCTTTCTTGCTTGCGTAGTACAGAATATTTAAGCAAGTAAGCGTTACAGAATCGGACCAATCAGATTGTGTCCTCAAGCAAGTAGCGACCTGATTAGCTTTCTGACTCACCCGGCTGGTGTGTTAGAGCCCTAAGCCTAGCCGCAGCTGTGCGCTGCATCACCACACGCTTTGTATGTGGGGGGCGGACCAATAGCGTGGCGTGAAAGCGTCTCGCCGGGGCCGCATGCAAGCACGTCTGTTGGGACGGCTCCTAACTGAAACAACAACCTAGCCTTATCAGCCTTCTAACTCGAGAACTCCCTTCATTGTTATGTTGTGGCTGCCCATTTTGCTGGCAGGTCCACTTTCAAGGGTTAATTATTGTTTAGCAGATTCGTGAGCTGCAGCAGCGGCCGTCGTGATACTTTTTATTTAGTGTTTTAAAACACCGTGACCCAAACTCCGGACAATTGCAATGGGGCTTAAATTGTTTTTTTTGTCAAGAATGGAGGCATTTCAAAATAAGAAGATGTGATCGTTGGAACAAAAAGACTACTGGACCGACTTTCAGCTTCTTACTCGAACCCCTCGTCAGGTCGGTCGCACCTAAGAGTGGTACAAGTTGTACAATTGTCACGCCACCACGCAGCTCAATAATAATAACCAGCACGCATCCATCGCAGTTGTTATGTAGACCGCCTGGTAGTCTGCACCCGGTAATTAATCATCGTTGTCGTTGTTCTTGATTCTCTACGTGATAATTACGCCACAACCCGGCTCGCTGTTACCGGAACGGTTCGCACCCCCCCTCCTGCGTACAGCTAATTACTCGGTACATGTAAAGTTTCAGCGCAGAATGAGGGCTCCGTAGTCTAGTATTACCGGCAAAGACAAGGGAGGGGACTGGAATGGCCATTTCTGACTTACAGCAGATTCCCCATCTCATGAAACGTCACCCGGAATTCTGAAATGCGTTTTCGATTCAAACACATTAATTACACATGGTTTTAAAAATGATGATCGTACAGCCTAATCTCAATACATTTTGGTCACATCAGGATGCCGGCTTTTTAATGAGCTTCTTTCTGACCGCAAAGTAAAAGCATGTACCATAAAAAGTAGCTACTTTAGTAGTATGCCTTTTTGTCATTGATTTTGACTGTCTGTATAGATTCAAATATATTTTATGGAAAACATGCACGAGAAAATTATTTCTTGTACTCGTTTGGTAGCAAATTATACCTTCTTTAAATTTTATAATTGAAGAAAGTGCATCTTTCGGTTTTAAAAACATTTCTAATTATGAGCTTTTTTACAATTTTCGGGTGTTCATTCATAGAACGTCGTATCGGTCAATTTGTTAATGCTGCCTTAACTGTATAAAGCATGTTTCATATCTACTGCAACATTTTATGAGAATTATGTTAGATCTTCCTCAAACTGTAGGCGAAGACGAACTTTTCCCTAAACAGGATGTATACAGTGCGCAGTTTGTAAACCTTGAATTCCAC